CTGCTCTCATCTGTGAAAAGCAGAGGGTGCCAGTGACGGCCGCTGTTGAGCTCTATGATGCTGGACAGTGAGCACAAGGCCCACTAGAGGACATCGGGCCCTCAGGCCACCCTCATGCTGTCTATTTCTGATTGTTAGAGGTAATTTTGTAGGACTCTGGCAGTGCTCATCCTGTTCCTCCTTGCACAAAGGAGCAGATATTGGTCCTGCTGATGGGTTAAGGACCTTCTACGGCCCTGTCCAGCTAGAGTAATTGCCTGTCTCCTGGAATCTCCTCCATGCTCTTGAGACTGTGCTGGGAGACACAACAAACCTTCTGGCAATGGCACGTTTTGATGTGCCATCCTGGAGGAGTTGGACAGCCTGTGCTACGTCTGTAGGGTCCAGGTATTGTCTCATGTTACCAGCAGTGACACTGACCCTAGCCAAATGCAAAACTAGTGAACAACAGACAGAAAAGATGAGTATGGAAAAAAATGTCAGTGGCCTCCACCTGTAAAGCCATTCCTGTTTTGGGGGTCGTCTCATTGTTTGCCATCAGTGCACCTGTTGTTAATTTCCTTAACACCAAAGCAGCTGAACTTATTAACAACCCCCTCTGCTACTTAACTGACCAGATCAATATCTCAGAAGTTTAATTGACTTGATGCTATACTCTGATTACAAAGTGTTCCTTTAATTTTTTTGAGTAGTGTATATAAAATAAAATACACAGGAGGAGTAGCAGAATGCGTTTTGGGTTGTAATTCTGTTATGTGTGTTAGAAATAATTGTGAAATTTGTGTAAAAAAGACATTTTCATTTTCTTTCCTGAATTTTACAAAACCGGTTTGAAACAAATGACATTTTCATAAGACTCACTATGCCTTGCAGAAAATACTTTGGATTATTTGCTTTCCAAAATGGATTTTGTAGTTATTTCTACTGTCCTGGTGCTCCAGGGCCTCCACAAACTGTGAGAGGGATTAAGGAAATTAGATACGTAATTTATGCTCATTGAAAGCCCAAAGGTGCTTCTTGGATTTTGGGATCCCTCTATGCATCTAGGCTGAGAAAACGTCTCACACATGTGGTATACCTATACTCAGAAGACATAGAAGAATGTGCAATTATAAGTACGCCTATGCTGTGTGTAAGAAGTAACAGGATTGATCAATTTTCAAATATATATATATATACCTTATAGACCTTAGGACCTTATAACTTTCATACAGACTAAATAATATATATATATATTTTTTTAGGATTTAAGTGAACAAATACAACTGAAATATGAATAAAGATTACAATAAAGCAAGACTAAATGGAAGAAACTGACAGGTCGGATGCTGGCTTTTCAGTATGCCTGACAGAAGCTGGTTGTGATATCAACAGGCAGCTGTACACATTGGCCAAAATTCAGTCAGTTCCTGCTGAACCGACCGTTTTCTGGCCCATGTGTACAAGGCTTAACAATGAGCATCATGATTGTGTTTCATGATATTGAAACTGTGCTTGAATTAACAAAAGATAATAGGTGAAGTTTGCTGGCAAACTGGTCTCAGATATCAAAACGATTCCAAGGAGTGGGTGGTAGAGGTAAGCGTGGTACATTACAGGGGATTAGGAGGAAAAGGCCCAAAAAGAGCTCCACGCCACCCATTCGGGTAGGATCATTAAAAATGATCTGTGTTAGCAAACAACTCACTAGGATGCCAGATATCCCATGAGAGGGATTCCGAGGCCACAGGCCCAGTAATACCAAGGCGAAAGAAAAAGAGTATGAAAGAGTAAAGACTTAAGAGAATAAACAAGAAATGTGGGGAAAGAAGGAGAATGAGTTCTGCTTCACACATGTGTGGTGCAGATTGATGCTCAGGTTTCACAACTAATTGATACAGTAGTTGTTCAGCAGTTCATGTCAGGTTTAGATCAGGTTCAGGACAGGTTTAGATCAGGTTCAGGTCAGGATTTTATCCTGTTCACAACTGATGACACGTGCGGTTTAGAAACAGTTCCTATAGAAGTCAATAGCCTATAATCTGCACCTGAACCGGACCTCACTGCTCAAAAGTTGGATATGACTCTTTTTCAATCAGCACTGCCAGTAGACTAGACATATGTGAACAGGCACCATAGAAAGCAATGTTATTTCACGTCATGCGGATTGGATGCAGTTCAAACTGTATCCAATCTGCATATATGTGAACGGGCACTTAGAGGGGCAAAGGTAGTGAGGGTCTGGACTGGTGCAGTTTCTTATATTGTTCTCTGCATGGTCAGAGGGAAGGGAGTGTACAGTCAAGATTGAGGGCTCGATTATGCTCCAGCCAGGCGGACTATACTTAGTGAAATTTTGAGTGCGTATTGTTTAACAACTTGCCCTCCAGAGGATTTACCCTCCTTCCTGACCAGGCCATTTTTTTTGCATTACGCTGCTGCGCTACTTTGATTTACAATTGCGTGGTCGTGCAACGCTGCACCCAAATGAAACGTACGTCCTTTTTTCCCATGAATAGAGCTTTCTTTTGGTGGTATTTGATCTCCTGTGCATTTCTTTATTTTTTGCGCTATAAAAAAAAAAAAAAAAAGACCGACAATTTTGAGAAAAAAAACTATATTTTTGACTTTTTGCTATTAAACATGTCTAGTAAAAAAAAAAAATCAAATTTTGCCATAAACATAGGCCAAAATGTATTCTGCTACATGTCTTTGCTAAAGAAAAATCCCAATACGTGTAAATTAATTGGTTTACGTCAAAGTTATAGCGTTTACAAATGGCATTGGAATGGAAATGTTTTTTTTCTTACTAGTAATGGCAGCGATCAGCGACTTATAGCGGGACTGCGGCGGGCATTCTGACACTGGGGGGAACAGACTTGATGTCACTGACATCCACAGAGACACCAATACAGTGATCAGTGCTAATAAAAAGCACTGACACTGTACTTATGGCACTGGGCAGGAAGGGGTTAACATGTGGGGCGATCAAAGGGTTAACTGTGTGCTGTGTGCCATTTTACATTATGTTCTGTGTTTGTGCTTCACTGTAAGCACACTGCTATGCACAGTTGTGCTGTGTACAGCCGTGCAAAGCAATGTGCAGGAGCTGACAGGGAGAACTGTTTTGTTTACTAACAGTTATCCCCCCCCCCCCCCTTCGAAGATCCACAGCAATCATTGGGTGCTGGCGAGTAATCACTGGCCTGGACCTGGTGATTGACAGCCGCAGCTCGTGCGCACCCCCTACCTGGAAATTTAAAATCTTGTGTTGATACATGATTTTGCACACAGCTGCCTCCCTGTAGCAGTATTTCTGCTATGGGATGGAGCTAAAGTGGTTAATATAGACATGAGCTTTTAAAGTGTTACTAAACCCACAACAGTAAAATCTGACTGTATATGCAGTAAAGCATGCTTGTTATACTCACTGTGGAACCTAAGGGGTTAATCCTCTCCACTGTGTAAGAAGGCTGTTTGATTTTGTCTTCTCTTATCCTCCCTTTCTTCTGCTGTCCGCAATCCATCTGCTGATAGTACAGAGCTCTAGGAGTCACCCTACACATTCTCAGTTTAGAGTATATTGCTAGAGAGTTTGTTTTCTTTGGGAGAGTGCATGTGATCAGCACAGGGCCAATCAGCACTGTCCAGACAGAGGGTCAGGGGTTATGCAGCCTCATAGGACAGTCAGAGGAGAATGAAAACTCCTCCTACAAGCTTTAACCAGTGCTCTGCTGGATACTGATAGAAGTCACAAGACTGCTCTAAATGCTGATGAGAAAAGGTATTTAGCAGTTTATATTTACTAAAATAATTGCATGTTGTGTGTATTGTGGGAGACCAGATATAGTGAATGCAGGGTCCTGGGTTTAGTAACACTTTAACGAATCGTGCTGCATATGGTATGCTGTTTTACTTCCATAAAATTCAGGCTCGGTTGTCAATCATGCTGTTTCAGTTGTGATTATTTGAAATCTGTTTTTACATAGTGTATAGCAGAACTGTTTCATAAGAGGATCAGCATTTACAGTCCCTTTCTCTATTCATAAGACAGGTTTCTTCACACGCTCAACAGGCATAATGCTTGAAGGAAATAAGATACGCGTATAGCAGTTCTTCATGGCCAACACCTTCATTTTCTCTCTCTTGGTTTTTATATTTTGTGTCTAATGTAAGATATCTATATATGTACAAATCATATCTATCCTGCTGCTTTTTATGTGTACAGAATTGTGCATATGAAGTATTTTGTGTTAGATGTATTCTGTATGTTCCAAGGAACACTGTGATTTCTGAGCTCTCCATCATCATACCTATCATTCCAGAATGATATATAACCTTTACAAGACTAGAAATGCTCAGCCTTATATAAACACACAGATTAAACAGATACATTTTGTGTCTATGCTCTTCACCTACTTTGGCCATGTTCCCAGACTGAGTCCTTACTTACCTGCAATGTTTCAGGGATATTAATCCTATGGGACATCAGTTGGGATGTATGCACCACTAAGAATTCTGCTGATCTCAGTTAATAAATGTCACAGTAAATGAATATTATAATTTCAAGTATGAAAATGATTTCAGAGTCTGTCTAGGGATTTAAGAGGTAAAGTACACAATGAACATGCTTATATTTGGAGGAACCTTACCTGTCGGCAATGGTATTCTAACAGCCAAAGATAAATACCATAGCCAACAGGAGAATCCTCCATTCATGTTGACATATGAGCAGATCCATACAGTTATCCGTCAGGTTTTACTTCATCATTTTTTAATACTGCACTACAAGATAGAAAATTACTATAGGCAATAGAAATGCTAATCGTTCCTATTTTTAAATAGCTTTTCTTGAGCCCAGTAGCGCCGACAGGGACAACCATAGCTCGAATTCTATCTGATTCAGCAGGAATCAGCCAAAATTCAAGTCCTATATAGCCAGCATATGTGCAGCAGTGAGAGGCACGAACGCTTCTGGCAATCTGATCAGTGATATACTTTAAAGTGCATTTCAATTTTTGCTGGATTAAAGTATTACTAAACCCAGGACCCTGCATTCGCTATATCTGGTCAGAACACGGAAATGCAATTATTAAAGTAAATATGAACTGCTAAATACTTTTTCTCATCAGCAGTATATAGCAGTCTTGTGATTTCCATAGGTGTCCAGCTGAGCACTGGTTAATCTTGTAGGAGGAGTTTTCATTCTTGTCTGACTGTCCTATGAGGCTGCAGGACCCCTGACCCTCTGTCTGGACAGTGCTGATTGGGCCTGTGCTGATCACTTGCACTCTTCAAAAGAAAACAAAAACTAGCAATACACACTAAACTGAGCATGTGCAGAGTGACTCCTAGGGCTTTGTACTATCAGCAGAAGGATTGAGGACAGTAGAAGAAGGGGAGGATCAGAGAAGACAGGATCAAACAGCCTTCTTACCCAATGCGGATTAATCCCTTAGGTTCCACAGTGAGTATAACAAGCGTGCTTTATTGCATATACAGACTGATTTTACTGTTGTGGGTTTAGTAACACTTTAACACTGACTTTATATTTGTTACAGGTTTTTATTCATATAACATACCTTTAAAAAATATAAATTGCTCCTTAAATGTTTATTGTTTACTTCTGAAAACTCCAAAATGTACATTTTCCTCTGCTATGCTGTGGTGGCTGGGGAGTTATTGTTTACCATAATCAACCCTTTCTGTGCTGTGCGGTAAATCAGTTATAAACTAGCTTTGAACACTGTCTGCCCTAACAAAGGGTTAAAGTGGTTGCAAAGGCAAGACATTTTTTCCCCTTTTCTACCTACGCAGGACAAAGGTCCCTGCACCTTTTTAAAACTGCAGCTGCAGGAAAATCGTATGGTGCTTTCACACCATGCGACTTCCCACACCCGAAAATGTACTGCACTTTCAGATGCATAGGGGTGCCATTAAAAATTACTAAAACCAAAAAGCAGTGCGGTTTGCCTGCAGGCATGGGAATTTGTGCAACTTACACACATTTCTGCACCTAGCCTAAGATGCTTCTCACAGCCACTAATCAAATTTGAAACTGCTTTACGAGTCTAAATATGATTGGTGAAGCAAGAAGGCAACAGACTTCAGGGAGACTTCAGGTAGTTCACTTTTACTGCCATCCCTGCTGATCCTCTATGAAGCTTACAGTTGTGTTCAAAATAATAGCAGTCAGACATCACTAACCTGATCAATCACTGTTTTTGGTAGAAATGATATTTCTACATGGCAAATTATTTACTAGCAGGTGTAGTAGAGTAATAGAAATCCAACAGACCCAACAGTCATGACATGCATGCTGCTGATTCTGTGTAATTGAATCACTCATTGAAAGGGGCATGTTCAAAATAATAGCAGTGTGGAGTTCTATTAGTGAGGTCATTCATTCTTTGAAAACCAGGTGGCAATTATTGCCCTTATTTAAGGAAGGAAGGCAGCAAATGTTGTACATGCTGGTTACAATGCATTTCTCTCTGAAATTCTGAGGAAAATGGGTCGTTCCAGATATTGTTCAGAAGAACAGCGTACCTTGATTAAAAAGTTGATTGGAGAGGCGAAAACATATAAAGAAGTGCAGAAAATGATAGGCTGCTCAGCTAAAATGATCACAAATGCTTTAAAATGGCAACCAAAACCTGAAAGACGTGGAAGAAAGCGAAAAACTACCATTCGAATGGATAGAAGAATAGCCAAAATGGCAAGGACTCAGCCAACAATCAGCTCCAGGAAGATCAAAGAAGGTCTAAAGTTACCTGTGAGTACTGTTATAATTAGAAGACGCCTATGTGAAGCCAAGCTATCTGCAAGAAGCCCCCGCAAAGTCCCACTGTTGAAAACAAAGACGTGCTGAAGAGGTTACAATTTGCCAAAGAGCACATTGACTGGCCTAAAGAGAAATGGTGCAACATTTTGTGGACTGATGAAAGTAAGATTGTTCTTTTTGGGTCTAGTGGCCGGAGACAGTTTGTCAGACGACCCCCAAACACTGAATTCAAGCCACAGTACACTGTGAAGACAGTGAAACATGGTTGCGCAAGCATCATGATATGGGGATGTTTCTCATACTACAGTGTTGGGTCTATTTATCGCATACCAGGGATCGTGGATCAGTTTGAATACATCAGAATACTTGAAGAGGTCATGCTGCCTTATGCTGAAGAGGAAATGCCCTTGAAATGGATGTTCCAACAAGACAACGACCCCAAACACACCAGTAAACGTGCAACATCTTGGTTCCAGATCAGCAAGATTGACGTTATGGAGTGGCCAGCTCAATCCCCGCATCTTAATCCAATAGAAAACTTGTGGGGTCACATCAAAAATGCAGTTTCTGAGGCAAAACCAAGAAATAGAGAAGAACTGTGGAATGTAGTCCAATCATCCTGGGCTGGAATACCTGTTCACAGGTGCCAGAAGTTGGTTTACTCCATGCAACACAGATGTACAGCAGTTCTCAGAAACAGTGCTTATACAACTAAATATTAATTAAGTGATTCAAAGGAAAGCAAAATCTTCAAACATTTTTCAGTTTATATAGTGAATGTTTGAGTTTGTAAAGAAGAATACAAACACTGCTATTTTTTGAACAGTCTAATATTCACTTTTCTTCAATTTTTTTAGAGGAACAACACAAATTTGATATATTTTTCTTCATGTTTGATTTGGAATATAATGTGTAGTGTTCCCAATGCATTTGTGTGTATGGAAATAAAAGCTATTACAAGGATTTTGAGCTTTATTCACTTTTTTCAACACACTGCTATTATTTTGAGCACAACTGTATATATATACTGTATATCATCATGTGTAGATGCTATAGATTTCACACAAACCAATCAATATGCACCTATTGGGATTTTTTACCAAAGACATGTAGCAGAATACATTTTGGACTAAATTTATGAAGAAATTTTTATTTGTTTTGCTTAGATATGTTTTATAGAAGAAAGTAAAAAATATTGTTTTTTTTTTAACATTTGCAGTCTTTTTTTGTTTATATAATAAAAAACCCAGTGGTGATCAAATACCACCAAAAAAAACTCTGTGTGAAAAAAAAAAGATATACATTTCGTTTGGGTATAGTGTTGCATAACCGTTCAATTACCAGTTAAAGTTTTGCTGTGCTGAATAGCAAAAAAAAAAAAAGCCCTGGTCATGAAAAGGGTAAAATCTGCCAGAGCTTTAATGGATATAAAATATTGCAGTTTGGCAATCTTTGAGGCTCCATGCACACTAGCCTTTGTTTTAAGCTCCTAGAAGCCGTTATTAGCATTTTTTTTCTGCTAGAAGCTAAATAGTGTTATCCTATGTGTTCATGCACACTACTTTAGACTATTAGCATGCATTTTATGAGCTTCAGCGTCTAGGAGCAGAAAAAAAATTGTTTTTGAAGGAGCGTTTTTCCAGCTACTAAACGCTACTAAGACGCTCCTAACAGCTTTTTTCTAGCATTTTTTTCCTTTACATGTACTGTAAAAATGTAAGAAAATGCTAAGGCTCCTAAAGGCTCCTAAATGCTTCTGAACATTATTTAAACTCTACTTAACTGGTTTCCCGCTGCCCTATAGCAGAACTACTGCTACAGGGTGGTAGGGCTGCGCAAAATCATGTGTGTATATATACACGTGATTTAGCATTTCTGGGTAGGGGGGCGTGCACTGTCCTACCCGTGCTGCCATTGGGGGCTACTGCTGTCGATCACTGGGTCTCAGCTTTAAATTCTCTGGCGGCAATCACTGAGAAACAGTGACAGGTGAGAGGTCTGTGTGCAAACAACACAAATCTCTCCCTGTCATCACCGACATGCTGCTTTGTATTGCTCTGAATAGCATGTTTCCCTAGTAAAACACACACAGCACACACAGTAAAACAGCACACAGTTAACCCTTTGATCGCCCCAGATGTTTACCCCTTCCTGCCCAATGTCATTAGTACAGTGGCAGTGCTTTTTATTAGCACTGATCACTGTATTAGTGTCATTGGGATGTCAGTGGCAGTTAGTCAGTTCCCCCCCCCAGTGTCACAATCCCCGCCACAGTCCCATAGTCCTGCTATAAGTCGCTGATCGCTGCCATTACTAGTATAAAAAAAAATTTAAATTCCAGTATATATACCGCCATTTGTAGACGTTATAACTTTCACGTAAACCAATTAATTTACATGTAGCGGGATTTGTTTTTAGCAAAGACATGTAGCAGAGTACATTTTGGCCTAAATTTATGACGAAATGTGATTTTTAAAACTTTTTTACTGGATGTGTTTTATAGTAAAGAGTCAAAAATATTGGGTTTTTTTTTCAAAATGGTGGGGTTTTTTTTGTTCATAGCGCAAAAAATAAAAAATGCAGCAGCTATCAAATACCACCAAAAGAAAACTTTATTTGTGGGAAAAAAAGGTCATAAATTTAATTTGGGTGCAGCGTTGCACAATTGTCAGTTAAAGTAACGCAGCGCTGTATCGCAAAAAATGGCTTGGTCAGGAGGGGGGTAAATACTCTGGAGGGCAAGTGGTTAAGCGGTATTAAAAAAGCTATTAACAGCGTTCTTTGTTCAGCATTTTTTTGAGCTTTGGACAGCAGCATTGTCAATCTATGCAGGGGGTCGTGTTAAATGCAGTAGCAGATTTAAATGGTCTAGACTAGCAAACTAAAGCCAAACTCCACCTAACGCTTTTTAAGCCATTACAGATACAGTTTTTGTTTTATGAAAAAGGTTTTACTTAAATTAATAACTGCTAACCAATGTAAGCACCCCTGTCAGTGGCAAATGGCTTGTCTCAACCCTCTAACTGCCACTTTGTCTGGACAGCGTGGTCTGTTAAAGGAAGTTGTAAAATGACAGACTTACTGGCAAGATCATCAGGTTAAAACAAAGGGGAAAAACAGAGAGAGGAAAAACAAATGCAGCCACCACATTTAAGAATTGGTAAGCTACAATATAATAAATTCTTGTTTTGAGGTTTAATGCCGCTTTAATAGCTTAAACCCACAATGTTTCTGGTAGAAGTCACACAGAGATTTTTTTTTTTTTGTATGGACACAATATTACCCCCTGGCAGGCAGGTAAAAGTCCCTGCCA